TATATATAGTTCGGTTTGCGTTACGTTTTGAACTTTCTGCATGATATATCTGAAACGGGTCGGGCGCTGTCTTTCCGAAAGCTCTGCGTAGTTAATCCACATACTTGTTAGAGTGAACTTCTTAAAAAAAATATTGGAATTCATATGAAAAATAGTTTTCTCATACCGTTTGCCACCAAAATACCAAATAAGAAGCCCGATTTTCGTCCGAATCATGACTTACGTTGTGTCAATCATGGAGCGTTTAGCTAAGAAAAATATTACTACATTTCTCCTTTTCAATCTTAGTCGTAGCCGTATAACAGAAAAAAAACGGTGCACGGCCATTTACTTTTGTCTTACAAAAATTCATACCTTGTATTGCGTTTTAGTAAAATCCAGCCGTACTTAGCTTCATCTACGCCAGACTATTTTGTTCGTAGTATTCTCGCATGTCGAAATATGCCCAGTTTCATCCATTTAGCTACACTTGCGGCCAAACCTGTTGCTCATGCTGAAATGTACCGGGGCACAAATGCCAGTAATGCTGACCCACAGCCCATCCATATAGTCTACATCAGTAACAAATTGGTCGTTGTCGGCACAAGTGAGATGCAAATGTTATTCCACTATAGTAATATTGAGTTGGTATAATAATGTTGAGCGCTTTTACTTTATTTAGCCTCTTACTATATCACATAATATCGCTATTCTACTGAAATGTTGTCGCTTGCATAACAACACGGCGATAACAATATGACAACAGCGTCTTTCCGTAAACGTAGCCAGCGCAATTGGAAGGAGGAAACCGTGGGTTCCATCTCACTCAACCCGATTTCCTGTTGGGATGGGTAGCTGGCGGCTGATGCCCTGCTCCTGTATTTCTCTGTTCACATGCCCGGAATCGCTCTACGTTCATATCGGTGCTCTACCATATAGGAACTTACAGGTTATATTCTTTCTGGTGGGTGAAGACCTTGCCAGCTGGCTATCTTGATAGTGTTATCTTCTACACTACACTTTTCTCTTGGCTGCACAACGTCTCTGTTGGTATTCACCCTTAATCATTTTCAAATAACTCGATTGCCTGGATTATGACCGCAGCTCATTGTCAAACATTTCGGTGTTATTTGTGCCGATTTATATTGCCGTCGTCGTCGTGTTTTCATCATGTACGTAGTAAACCCTTCAGAGGCCATAGTGGACCGTCACGGAACATTATCGCTGGTGGCGGCACCGTCAAGCACAGCTAAGCTACCGTTAAGCACGTTAAGGGTAGACCTGCGTGATGAAATCGTGACCATGGTTCGGTGACAGCATCGGTTAAACGCGTACAGCGGTAGGACAAATAGTACTGCCGTTATTGTTGTTGTTGGTTTGTTTTGCGCGAGTATGTCGATATGTTATGTAAGTTATGTAACCTATCAACTGTATGGCGAGGTATGATATTAGTGGAAGGTTTCTAATTCACGATGTGAAGAAAAAAAATCAGGGCCATATGTAGGGGCATAAAAATAACATTGAAATAAAAGACATCAGGTTTACCATTGACACTGGATTTAGCCAGTTTCCAGTTGTGTGGAGAGAAGCTCAACAAAGCTTTGCTTAGAGAAATAGATGTTCTATCTGGAATATTGCCTCGTTAGGCTCTTCGTTTAAACGTTACTACTATGTCTAGACAGATTGTCATGGTGTTATTACAGGTATCAGATACTTTTTAGATCTAGAGTAGAAGCTTCGTCTCTTACCGTTGGACAAGTGTGCTTCTTTGCCACATCTGAAATCTAACAAAGTTTGCCTTTTCTTTTTCAATTTCAGATACTCGCGTTCTGTAAAAAATGGCAAGAAAAAAGAGATTGAACATGAACTGTCCGGATCGAACCGAACTCACGTTGCCAACGCTGAAAGCTGATTCAACAGTAGAAAAACAAGATGTGCTTGCGACGTGTCGAATCTGATGCAATAGCAACCGGGAGAGCATAGCAAAAAAACATTGCCCATACCCAAGATCAACCCGCCAAAGCATAAAAAAAGCGTTAAAGCAGCCGACACGAGTAGGGTAAAAAAGGTGACCAATGTAAAGCAAAAAGGAAGTGCTTTACACCGTTCCCCCTGCATTGTCAGACACGTTATAACAGGATGGCAGTGTTTCTTATAAAAGGTTGCTTCAAATACATATTTGGCTAGACATTTGTTCCTTTTCCTATACAACATTTTTTCCCTGAATGATAAAAAGAAAACAATGTTTGCCATACGATACGCAAACTTGCGTTTGCTGTGAAGTTGAAGATGACCTCAAATGTGTGGCCTACACCCTCAGAACGCTCCACTTCAGGATGATGCGTGAGCCAGTCGGAAAGCACGGAAACAATGCAATGCATTGACAACATTTATTGGACAAAACATCTAACCCTTTCCACTAGCTGAAAAATACCTGATGATATACAGTTTTTCGTGCAGCAAGTAGAGATTTTGTTTGAAAATTTTGTGGAGCCGATAAAAACCGCAAACTCGTCGTGTCGATTCTATTACTCATAGATGCAATAACGGCGTTGTTCTCTCTTCAAGCAACTCTAATAAAAAGGAGGTCACTAAAACGTAAAAACGACCGTCATAAAGATTTACCGCACGCATGAATGTTGTGTTTGTCTAAATAGCGTAACTGCCAATGAATGTTTCTCGTGTACATCTTTGTCAGCACTGATCAGTGGACGGCGGCTTTTCGGCTAAATCGTTCTTCATCGATAGCGGTAAATAAAAGACGTTATTTGCTGCGATACGTTGCCACCGCTCGCACCTCACCGTTTAAAAAAATAAACACGGTCCTATCTTCGATATTTTATTGTATGCAGCAAATCGACGAAGAGAGGCAAATCGTTGATAGGAAAAGCACCAGTTAACGTTAAGGACACATTTGCAATTCGAGCGATTGCCCCAGCACAACAAGGACGAAGAGGGAAAATGATTATCAACGCAGGGCTGTGGAACGTCGTAGATGCACCGTATAGCGTACGGGCAACCCGTATCTTCAAAACAAAAACATTCGATTTGAACGTAACCTCTCACCAGACGTTTTGGGAAAGGCGAAAGATGTTTGACCAGCAGTCGTTGTTTGATACGGCGTAAATTCGGCTTCGTTATCGTCAACCGAAGGCCTGAAGCAGAAAATTTGTACCAAGTGGATTACTATATCAGGGAAATTGAGTGGGGATAAACCCGACATAAAAAAATACTTCTCTCTAGGTAAATAGGTTCAATCAAATAAAAAAAATAATTGCAAACGGATAAAAATTGTACTACTGTCGGTGCGTGACATAGTTATATGAAACCGAACGCTGCATAAATTACGTAATAGAAGATAATTAGATTGTTATCATGACATTGATATTGTCGATGACGAATGTACCCCGCCTGTTTTTCCCGCTTGGATGTCGCATTCATAGTATTATGTGAAATTGCGAAAATTGCTAACGAATAGAACAACGACGTTTAATGTAACTAACAATGATGATCATGCACCTGATGAAGATCGTGTTAATGCTCGTTACGATTCACTATGATCATTACGCTTGCAAGATGTTTCATTTTCTGAGAAGGCCTGAAAAACGTTCAGCAAACATTGAGCTAGCAGATAAACTTTCCACAAATATGGCAGTATAACAATAGAGTTTTGCGTGTACGCACATAAATGAGATTGCATCACATACCATCGGAGAAGGCGATAGCCGACCAGCCAACCAGCCGCACCAATGAATAAAGGCGATCCTGTTTATTCTGTACAAAGTAATAATAACAACGGAAAACCGACTGAGCTAATTCAGCGGTCGTTATTGTCGTTGTTATTGCTAGTGAATCACTCGGTGACTGCGGGATGCCATAAGTAAATACAGAGGAAAAAAGGAAGATGAATTTTTCAAAAGCATATACTAAATGTATCATCACAAAGACTACGGCAACACTACCGCAACGGGTGAAAAACATTTTACACGGAGCCATCCTACTACAATCTCTTCTTGTGTGAACTCTCTTTCATATGCACACAAATTATATACACGAGCGTGCACATTTCGAACAGAAGCAAAAACAGCCTTCTGGTACTGAATATATAGTTCGACAGTTTTAGTCTATCGTATTTTAAAGAACACCAATATATTAATAAACCTATTATTGATTTACGATTTGCTATTATTACTAGACGACTATAATAACCGAGTGATTGACTGATTGATTGACTGATCGTGAAGAAAGGAAGGGAAAGGAATTCACTGATTCATTAAAGCCATTCGGTGCGGGTTTGCGAATGTCGGCAAGAGAATCATTGTTAAGTGAATCATTGTCAATGCCGGTGAAGCTGCGCTTCACCATTGCAAAATAAAAAAACAGATTACCTACGCTAATTCGCTCTACGGCATATTCCTGGTATGTAAATACCTCCTCCCCGCCATTTTTCACTAAGCTGGGAAACTATTGGAGCACGATAGTAATGCACGATTTAAAAAAACAACAGAAATAAATAACTTCTAGGCGAGAAGACACAAAAAAAAACACTTACAAAAGAGATAAACGAAAAACTAAAAAAATGCAATAAAAAGTCTGTAAATGGAAAACATATATATGCTGGAAGCGACGTCGCTATTGTCAGTAAATATATGTAATTATATGTGACAAAAATAGCAAATAATCCTAGCTACACTACGATTTGGCTGCGTGGTGGCGAGAAAGTTTCGAGAGAGAAATATCTTTGCCCCTATTGGTGGTCGTAAAAACTTGTTTCTTTGACTAGATTATATTATTAGATTGCCTACTAAATAAACATTCTCCGTTGTTTTCAAACTAATAAGACCTGAAAAACTGAATTATGTTTCGAGCTGGTCTAACGTTTAAATATGTGATCGAACAAACGATCTATAAACATTAGTTCCGTCAAAAAATGGCCAGTTCCTTAGTTCAAAATTCTAAATAAATGATAATACAACAGGAGGCTACAAGTGGCCACCACCTCGAACTAAATACCCGTAACGATGTACAATTTGAGGTGGGGTAAATTATTACAGTCGATAGAAAACGATAAAAGGTACAGATGCACACGAAGTGTAAAAACAACACTGACATTTTAACATGAAGCAACAAGCTCTCCAGAATATAGAAGACAAAAAGCAAAACTCAAACCAAAATGAAGGAAAAGCAAAAGCACCATTCATGCTATCACCGGACGCTGGCGACGGTGTTGTTAAACATTATAGATAGACGTGGGTTATATACAGTAGATAGTGAAACGTAGAGTGGAAAAGGCAGTTTCGATCAGATTTCAGAATTTTAGATGGATGGTCGAGCGATCTAGTAACCAATAATGGCCCACCAAGATGCAGGATGATGCAAAGCGAACAGATACTGTAAATAAGCAAATAGGGAGAGGCAGTTGAAAAGGGTTGCTTATTAACTAGACTTGAAAAGTGTTGATAAATTAATCAGTACGATATTTGTCGTTTTACATATTGGCACAGATTTGGGCTTCACAAAAAACAGCTTCGACACCAATGGCATCCTAAAAGCAGTGTATCGATGGGGCCTGTACTTTGGTTAAAATTACTACGAATTATTGTTGTCGCCGTGTCTCTCAGCTATTACGTATACGGTGGACGAATCCGTCAAGTATTGGTAATATGCGTCCGTTTGCATTTTTCTAACTTAACCGCTAAATTGTTTCGGACCTTTAATAAAAAAAACTAAAAGAGAATGTACTTACACGATCCAACATGAATTGTCTACTGCAATCTGTCCGAAAATACAAATTAAAAACTGGTCAGGAAATAGAATTATTAACGAAATGTTGAAGTAGATTTACTCATGCAGTCTGCTTGGTACGGGCATCACGATTTTCGATAGGGATGGCGTCAATAACGTTAGCGACACCAATAAATCTGAGTAGATATTCGAGCGACATTCCTAAAAATCTGAGTACTGTTCGCTAGGAAGACTACTTTAGGTGCGACGCTATCTGAAGCCTGAATCGCTCCCGATGGTAACTGACCAATTTGCCTTTTCTCTAACGCCATTCTTCTTTTGCTATCAGAGAAAAATAAAATCATGTGTAAACCCCTCACGAGACATATATAAGTAAATTGGAAAATCAAACAATAAAAAAAGGACAACGATCAAGTGAAAGTTTAAAAGAAGCCGTATTCATGTGTTGTTATTTTTAGGTAATTTATTTTATTAGGATATGAATTCTGTGCAAATTTATACTTATTATTGAAAATAAATAACGAACATCTGCTTCGAGTGACTTACTCAGTGATGGCGTAGCGAGTATTTACCTTCAAAATTTGGGGGATACATCAAAGCGTGAATTCCAATCTGAAACACACGTTGACTCGTGCCGGGAACCCGTAAATATGGTAAGACGTAAAACTGGAAAAATTCAATTTTATAGTCACACGTTCGTGAATTTATTATATATTTTTATAATAGCGCAATAGCTAGTTTGTTTGCCTGCAAACATAGGGACACCTGAGCTGGCCAGAATTCGGATCCGGCCGTGTAGAGTAATGCCTAGTGGCTTAAATACCTATTTTTTTTTTAATTTTTAAATAAAATTTAAATTAGATAGAAAAAACACATACAGAAGCAGAACGATGCTGGGTGCAGTTCACACGGTGGTTACTAAGAGCGGCCTAATATTTGAGTACTTTTAGTACTACATTTTATTTGAAGTCTATTATCTAGAATTACACAATATATCATATCGTCATATATAATATCTTCTAATGTGCATAAAGTGCTACGTCTAAAGTGCAATCAATTTTGTCATGCAGCTTTTCATCGCAAGCATTCGTTGGTCATTATCCTCCCTGTTAGAAAAAAGCCAGTTTCTTTTTTATAGAGTCAAACCTCAAACTCATCATGGGGTAAGCATCAAATTCGTCCTCAAAATCTGAGCAAAAATCAGTTATCTTTGAGCTGAAATCAAGAGCTTCTGTTTTCTCTGACAGTTTGTCTTAACACGATTTTTGCAAAAAATCGCATGAAAAATCTATGACATCAATTCCTTTACAAATAATTGATGAGTGGCTAATGTCCTAAGTTGAAACTGTAGTTGACATGAACGAAGCTTTCACTGAATAAACATTACCGCTAGGCATGACAATTTTAGGACGTGTAAAAAAATGTCGTTAAAATATTGGTATGTATTTAGATAATCTTAGAAATGCTAACGTCTAAAGGTATTATATAAGTGTGTGCATGTGTGCGCATGCGTGGTGAAATGCGCTGACTTCGATCCGTTCACCACGATATGGTTTAATAAATATTAAAATAGTTTGCTACTTGTTGCTGTAAAATCAAATTCTCGGAAAAAATATACTGCCAAAAAAAGGCCATCAAACAAAATCAAATACAGGCTACAATACCAAGACTGGTTCCTCGTTAACGTTATTTGTTTCTTGAATGTATGCCTCGAGGAACACATACCGAAAAAAAGTTGAAGCGAAAAAAGGCTACGAACGCATGCCCCTAATAGGTGCTCGATATGCAGCATTATTTAATTAAGTACTTAAATGATTATTTAGTTCCGATCCAACTTAATCTAGCTTCTAACAGTCAGTCATAAAGACATAAACGTCTTTAATTTTTTTTTTATCTGTAAGGGTTACGGACTCAGACCCAAGCTTGCTGTCAATTTCATAACTATAATCCCTATGATACCAACATCATATACACTTTGCTATCCTATGTCTTCGGAAATCTGCTATGTTGACGACGAGTATCTATCGATCCAACAATTTGTCGCAATTTCACTGTCAGCTGGCAACGCATTCATACAATCGTCAATAGATATGCTTCTTGTTGCTTCTTACTCGCTGATGCTACCTTAGCTAGGTGTTAGGGATCACACCACTGTTGTCGGGTTGACAGTCAGTTTGAATTCTTGTTTACCGTTATGTCTGATATTTTTATTATTGTTGTTTTTGTCTGAAGGGGGCAGGCTAGATGATCGTCCACAACAGTCATTGCCGTTCGCACTGTCACCCTCTGGCGGAAATCAACGCAGTGGGTGAATAGTTGGTCAAGTCCCGAGCCTTCGACATTAATCAGAGCACCCCAAGCAAGCCATAATCCGTGCTCCCAGGGCATGCTACGGTTTGAGCTCCCTCGCAATCTACCATGGACCGCGGGCGGCAAACTACATCAGTTAGCTTCAGGGATCGCAGCTAGTAAGCGATTGTTCACAAAAAAAAAACAAGCGTTGCCAGCGACGATGAATCGCAAGGAACTGACACAGGAAAAGGCAGTCTTCTATGAGGAGCAGACGATAAGTGAAACAACAATAGCAGAAACACGGATGAGAGAAGTAGCGAGAGCAACCTCAACAAATTATTGTCTCAGTCGTTACACGTTTATAGTTCGCTTTTAGCTGCGTAACTTTTAGATGCTCTTTTTGCGTACACTGTAAGCGTCAAGCGTCTAGCGCGACACTTCACAGTGTACGCAAGGCAAAGGCAATGGGAGAATTATAATGATGTAACGACTGGTGGGCGTTTTACAGAGAGACAACGTTTCGACGCCTGCACAGGGCTGACGATTTGTTTGATTTGTGGCTAATTGGGAGTTACTGGAGGCACACACTGTTTCCATAGATTATAGACGACATCTGAATTGAACATAGACATTTTGAAGCAAGCGTTGATTGCAAGTTTAAATATAGAATACTATATAAGTATGATTTCCCGAAAGAAAATGAAACGCTTAAACTCTAATACAAGAGCAAAAGAAGGCCAATTTGTACGTACATATTGTCTCTACTCTTTTAAGAGTTATTAGGATGGCGTGTAGTTTATTTAATTGAACACGTGATGTGATTGGAAATTACTTGCAGGACTGTCAAAAAAATGCATGCAAAAAGATCACAATAATTCGTTCTTCTGTTTACTTTTTTTTCTTAGTTTTCAACTTTCCATTTCGCTTCTCTACGTAAATGCACCAATACTGTACTAACTATTATTTTGCTAAATGCTCTTCTGCCCAGCGATTCTACGGGTTCGCGATAAACACGAACGCTTCCATTTTTCAAAAGCAAACCTAAGCATAAGATACGAGAAACTATTTAGCGCTAAACATCTTTACTTCTGAACTCATCATTCAGTCAGCTTATAGTTGTGGTGGTAAAATATTAATCTATCGTTTATCAATGGCGTGTAGTTTAATAAGGACTTAAAAAAAAAACCCACTAATACAGCATAATGATAAAGACCCACTCAGTACAACATAATAAATATAATAGGTAGCTTACGTTGGACTGCAATGACGTAGAAAAGATTCGTTTTTGGAAACCATTCAAAAGGTTCAAAGATCGGTTAGGAAATAAATTCATTACAGGGAGCAATATCGCATTGCACAGAAAAATATTTTAAATCAGCGCGCCGTAATAGCAACTAGCCGAATTGATCGGAGTCTGCTGTACCCTCGTTTTCGATTTTCGCAACGAAGTCGAATGCAATGGTCGCTGCTATGATACGAGCTAGATTTAGGAAAATAAACAGATTTTTGGTCTCCACATGGGCTATTGGTAACGCATAAGGCTTTTACGCCTGATATCAGACTAGTACTAAGAAATAGTTTATCGTCATGCATTAGCAAATTGACTCATAGCAGTACGGTGAAGGAAGCAGCTCTGCCACGAGACCTCGAGTTCAGAACCTTAATAAGGATCAAGTATATTAACGCGTAGTAGTATGTATGCTCTGTGTACAGTGCACATACAAATCAGTTTATTAGAGCGGAATCTCATGAAAAGTTTCGCGTCTATGATTTACGCCCTCAATTAACGAGCAACTACAATTTCTTAATGTGTCATAGCAAACGAAACAGCAAAGATCCTCTATCTACGTGAAGCTGCCACCGAACTATCACGGAGATACCCATCACTGACTATTGAGATTACACAAAACGATTGAGGCAAATCGTTTGTGTTGCGTTACAATGTTGGGAACAATATGCTATTTCAGTTGTTTAGATTCGTTTTACGTTCGTGTGCTACTGTGTTGAGTACATTTTGGGCCTTAGCATTTGGCGAGTACCACCATACGTTATTATTGTTCGTATCACGTCCTGTGTTTAGAAAAATTGCTTATGACGGCATCATACTCGCAACAAAGCCGTTCTTTGGGCTAGGTAGAAAACACCATAACGCCTTTAGTGTCGATCTTGAGAACTTTGTTATGGTATGAGGTTCATACAGTTATGCGATTTACTTTATCCTGTTTAATGATAATAAAGCATGACACCGAATAAATTGACTACATATTGAGTATAGTACTACTACCGTTAGAAAAAACGTTTTATTAGAAAAAATACTTAATGTTTTCCATTTTGGGAAAACAGGTTACTTGCTCTTGATCTTCTTGCAGAGCATGTAACATGAAAATGATCAGCTTTCATCTATTGAGCCATGCAGTATGCTTACACAATGTCATTATGGTCAAATTTAGACAAAAAGAACTAAAATAATATGGCTAAAAATTTTCATTAATTAAGTTCTTCCCACTAATTATGACTACGTAACAACGATGTGAGCAAAATAAGAGACCGCTGCTTGCAAATATCCAAAACGATATATCTATCGCTTAGGCAAAAGAAAAATGTAAATTTTGCAGCTATTTTTAGTCAAAAATAGCCGAATTCTACTCAAAACAATATTATAGTTCACATTATGGTATCACTATATACATCTGATTTGTTTACTATTCATATTATTATAATGAACACACAACGCATTTATTTTTTTCTCAGTATTTGTAAGGGGACCAAAATAGTCCCTCAAATGAACTTTTATTTTCATTTGTCATCACCGTATCACCGTAGTAATAATATTTACACAGTTATCTCGACGCGGACCAATTGCCCTCTTCTCTCTTGCCAACTTCCGGAGTCCCTACACGATTTCCTATCCCGGCGTTTTTTTTTCATTTGGTATATACATCCTCTGGCCCCGCGCGTCCCCCAGCCGTCGGCGATTTTTTTCATACACAGCTTTATTTTATCATCAACATTATCATCATCATGCGTCTTTTTCTCTCTCTCATTATATCCATCAACCTCATCGACTCCTTTATCCACTTCGTAATAATAATAATAATTGTCATCACCATCATCAGCGCCTTAAATAAATCTACACACCCTCCAGCAGTTTGACAAAGAAGGACGTCCGCGTCCCTGCAGCTCCACTAGCAGCCGTATCTCGCAGCTCAGTACTTGTTCTGCTCTCTATTATTCTTATGCGCAATTTCCTTCCATCGATGGTTTTCTAGCAGCGTTTCCCACATGTTAGTTCTTGCCCCCTAGCCCTTACCCCCTGCCCTCTTTCTAATCTCGACCCTTGCTAACTGTCTCTGAACCATTTTTTTGCCCAGTCAGTACTACCTGTTTTGTGTAGCATGGCGAACAACACTCGACAGCTGCTGTTGTCATTGCTGCTGCGTGCTGTTCTGGCGATGGTCTACCTTTTTCAAGCGGTTGTTCTTTTGTGGTCTATATCAAAGTTTTACCCATTTCGTGTCGACAATGCCCCTCCCGGAAATGACGACGGCGATTACGGACTTCAAATCTTCAAGTTGTATAGCAGATAGTATAAATAGGCTAGGTGCTTTTTCTTCTCGAATTGGAAGCTTAGAGAATTTTTTTTTGGCTATATTTCCCCCCTAGCCAAATCTCGTGTCTCCGGTACGACAAACGGACTGCGTCATCACGAATCATTGCTACACGAAGCTAAGGATTTTATCGTCAGGTGATACAAGGAACTACTAATTGTATATTAGTTACTCTATGCATTTATAAATACTAATAGTAATAATAATAAAAAAAAAAACATATGATGAATAAATTCCTTAATTAGAGCATCGGCAAATAGCAGAAAATTAAAATTTCATGTTTCAGACATACACATGTGCAATATTCACGATCCACATTTTTGTCACTCTAGTATTGATACTGTTGGCGTTATGGATATTCTCCTGATATTATTGCTTACACTAAAATATCGATAGCTATTCTGTTGTTTTTTTTCTTGTCATAACAGTAACAACAACAGCAATAATTATTATTATAAAAGTAAAGTAATTGGATCGCTACAATTTATTTTTGTTGTATTGGTAGACTTATACTAGCAAAAGGAGTTCGCCCGTTGGCAGGAAAAACGCAGGCCCCAAAAAAGTCGTCTTCAAACCTTTGACGCTTTCTCCTAGTACGTCAGCTGCCGACTTTTCGTTCGAGTCTCTCATATTAGCGGTCGGCTCAATAATAACATATCTATCTCAACCTTAGCTTTCACACGTACATATATACCACGCTCAGTTTCTCGATCTTTCGATCTTCGCCCTTGTATCTTTAGCATTGCATTATTTTCGCTCGTTCTCCATTATTCGTTCTTAAAATTAATTACAATAATACAATAGAGTACACTGTATAGCGAATAAGATTGATAATTGTATATAATATAATTCTGTGTTTGTGAGTGCATGTGTGTGCGAGCGCGTGTGTTTCTGTGGCTGTATGTGTGTGTGTGTGTGGTATGGTAGAGTAAAGCAAAGAACGCAGTCTGCTGCAAAATAATTCACTGCAGTCGCCAGTTGAACTTCTGCTGCTGGGCCCCCTTTATCTGTCAGTTAGAGAAACGCATAGAAGCGAAGGCTCAAGAACATAATCACGAGAAATTAATAAAAAATAAGCATTGGAGACACATCTGAACAACTGCCTCTTTGCGAAGACTCGCGAATCCCGTTATTTACTCAGCCTAAGCAATACCAGCATAAAGCAGCCCTTTACAACAAAAGTGTAAATGGAGATCTTTAAAAGTCCGCATTCGCCGTCTGCCACTTGTTGGTGGAGACCCCCCCCCCCTTCCCAGGATGAACCGTTGTAGCAGCAGCTGCAAGAATTACCCCTTAACTTCGTCTACCTTTTCAGATTCAATTTGTTTATCACGCTCCCTCTTTCGTTCTCTCATTAGCTTAAGACGTTCCCAAACAGTCTCCAAGTTTTATCACGCACTACCCGCTTCCATTGGATAACCCCGTCTTCTGGTTTTCGTTCCCCTCCGGTAGATCACACACTCTTCGCTGGCAAGAAGAACTCGTCGTTCTCAAGAACTTCCTAAAATTCGCACCTGCCTGTTCTTGCCTTTCCATTATCGCCCACGTGCTACATCATTTTACAATGTGTGGGCACCACCTCACTCTTCAGACTCAACATCCTCATGTAATTTCTTCATTATACCATCATCAGTATCAGTTTTATCTTTATAATTCTCATCATATTGGCATCATTTGTTTTTCGTTTTCCATCATCATCACAGCTCTCCTTGCCAGGTGGCCCGGGCATCAAATACACCCCCTACCAGATTAGAGCCGTTTGCCACACCGTCATCACCATCATGCATGATGTGTGGCCTCGGTATCTGCGTTTGCGCAATATCTCAATATTGTCAATAATGATGTGTGTTATTCAAGTGGAACAAACTATTTTTCTCTTTTTTTACCCTTCTGAAAAGCGAATCAATGAAGCGGTCAGGGGTTTGTCCGGGCAACACTTGCAATCTTCGGCGTCTCATTCGTTTGTGTGAGTACGTGTGTGTGGATGTGTGTGCATGTCTGCATTTTTTCGTGTTTTGTAGCTTACTTTATCCATGAATGTTTCGCTTTTTCGCTTTTCCCTTTTCGACAAGGGGCTGGACCGAACAACAACAACACGAGACAGCAACAAGGCGACCATGCATCTCGCAGTTGTCACAGTCCTCTTGCTCCTTCACGGATTGTTCAAATCACCCGTTGTTTAACTTTGCTTAGTTTGTCGCTCAGCACGACTAATTAGTACCGCTATTGCTACAGTTATTGTAGCTTTACACATACACAGCTGCATGTAACACGTGTTGCATTTGACATTGTGACAGGTGCACAGCACCGCAAGCTAGCCCGATTCATGCGCTCATCCGATTGAATTGAAGAATTTCCGTCCAGCGCCTTCACTCCAACACCACGTGCTGACATGCAGTAAAGGCAACAGCAGTCAAATGCCACCGCTGAGACAGCACAGGGAAAATAACCTCTTTTGCTCTTGTTATCGTTGTTGTTGTATATAGAATTTTATAAACAGCGGCAGAACGCACTCTATCGCGTGCCATATATATATATCGGTCAGCCTGTGTCGTCGGTAAAGCAACCCTCCTATCGCTTCGTTTTGTTCCCATACAAATTATCCCTGGCTCGCTATTCCTATTTTGCACATATGAATGGACTCGTGCATAAATAATGGTCCCCTTTTGCGAGGCCGTTCCTCAACGATGATCATCTTCCGGACGAGGCCCTTCTCGACGGTCAATTCCGCTGGTCGCGGCTCCGTTTTTCTGTTTAACTTCGTCCTGGGGGGATATTCACTTGATGATGCAGGTCCCTGTTCTCGCTGTGCACGTAATACCTACCAATCGGCAGCGGATTGTGGTGGCGGTTTCACGTTTGTTTCCTTATAGGACTGCCACACACAGGTGATAAGTGGCCGTTTGCTGTCTCCGTCAATTCTTGTTGTTGTTATGCTACTGTTCTATGTATCGTTTCGAATCTAATAATGCTGACAGTATTGTATCGTTTCCTCACTGTATATGGTTCATGGCGTTGCTTCGTATATTCATGTTATTGACGATGGATGGGTTTATGATTGCTTGCTGATTATGGTAATTAATTAATGCTAGGCAAAAAGAGTTCGTTTCGTATTTGATCGCAATGAGCTCTCTCTTTCTTCAGCTTCTTTCCAATGCTGTTCCTTCGCTCATAGACGTGAGTCCTTAGGGTTGAAGTGGGGCAAACACACAGCGCTTATTCAAATGGGGTTGGGGAATAGAGATTGGGGTTGTAGCTCTTCATACTCTTCCAGATTATTCTGCTTCTCTTTTTCTAGAAGGCTGGATTTCTCGTTGGAGGTCTTTGGCTCTTTCCTTCTCTTCAGATAGTGACGACATTATACGGATCCTTCGTGGTACTTGGATCGAGTGCATTGATAAGGTGCTCTCCTCCTACTGTTTTCTGCTGGAGACCGTGTATAGCTATTATTTAGCAGGATTTTTGTTGTGTTGAAAATAGTATTCTCCTTGTCCACGCTTCCCAGACTGTTCATTGTTCTTCCCTCCTTTTCTTCAGGACAATTTCATTGTCGTTGATGTTTGACGCTTTGTTGTCATTATCCTTTTTCGATAGTGTGTCACAATGATCGGTGGTTTGAGCAGGGGCCAGACGCCGATATACATTTTGCCTGTGACGCAATCTGCCCTACACGGATGTACAGCATTATATTGCGTCGCGTTCCGCGGTTATTCTTCTTGTTGGCTTCCTATTTTTCATATTCTGTCCCATCTCGCGTCACGTTTCGCGTCACTCTACGATCTGCTCGTAGGCAACGAATGAATTCCTTCAAATGTGAGCATGACGACGACTACCCAGAACCGTTTGTCATTGTAACGCAATAGCCATACAGATGAAGAGAATACTTAAAAATCATAGTTTAGAATTGCAGTACAACTGTGTGATTAATAATAATAGCAGAGTAATGAGGTGATGATAATCGTTGTTTCTGGTTGCTATGTCTTCATTTATGTTTTTGTTTCGGTTAGTTCCATGGGGAAGTACCATCTTCTGTTCCGTGATATTCCGCTTCAAATTTATCCCATTTCATCGACTATTTACCTTGAACTAGATTGGTTTTTTGACGTTCGTAGTTGCTTTTGGGGATGGATCATCGTTTGGCCTATCGGTTGTTGAATTGAGAGTGAGGTGTCGATATCATATTTTTTCAGTTCATCATCATCAAGTGCGTACCGGTTTCTAGCTTGTTATATTCTCGTGTTTTGCTTCGTCTGCTATCTTCGCTTAGCGTGCCGTTAAACTCTTGACTTATTTAATTTTGCTATGTGCTCGACTTCGTACATCTCTAATTCATTCCAGCATCATATTATGTCCTTGTAATGATCTCGGCTAGATTACCTCGGTCTATGTTCTATATACGACTTTTTTAGGCTTTGAAATTTGCTTCCTTCATTTTCGCACTTTCTTCAATTTAGCCTCGAATTCCATCGTTTCATTTCTGCTTTGCTTTTATAGTTTTTCATAATCGTAAATATTGTTAATAATAATAATAGCAGTGATCGTCGAAGTCGAGTTCTTTGTATTTCTATGCTTCATTCTCCTTTAAGAATTACTTCACTTTATACTTCATTTAGCGTTCCGCATCAGTCAGTGTTTAACCAAGATCAAGAGCGGGCAGCCAGGCCGAAACTGGTGGCGAAAACACAGGGACTATAGGCCAGTGTGTGCGCCAAACAGAAACGTAGTCAAAGCCGTCCGGGAGACCGTAGTGTTCAGCAGATTTTTTCAGTGGATTTTTTCCTCACGTTTTTTTCCTTTCTCATCCACGTCTTCTATCTGGGGTTATGTGTTTTTCTTTCTCGCGCTTTCGCGTAATAATAGTCATCAGCAGCGTCCTTCCGTAGCAGCCTTCTAAAATAATTTTTTCTTTCGTTACGTTCTTCATACACACACATACACAATGGTTGCTGATGTCGTTATTGAGTGTTTGCGTGTCTTCACTTTCAACTTCAGTTGAGCTCACGATCCTCGAGGAAACGATACTCAAATGTGAAACCTTCTTTGCGCCGCTGACTCCATCGTTCGTAGTCGAAGTAGATGTACGTGCCCTGTGGAGGAAATTAAAAAAGACACGAGATAAAAAAAGTCCAGTGTAAGAGTCTGCTTGATGTAATTAGGAGAGTCGATATATTAAAGATGGAGAGACAGAAGATCCCTTCACGCGTTAACTGTCACGTAAACAAGAAATGACAGCTGTGTATACGTTTCATTGTTAATTGCGTGAAACCCTTCAATAAAGCGCACAATCTTATACTTTGCAGCGAATAAGCAAGCAAATATATTGTTTATTGGTTAATAATGTCTTTAGACCTAATAAAATTTAAAAAAAGTTAATAAAATTCAAAGTTAACACTTCATAATAATAATAAAAGTTATTAATAATAACTTTTATTATTATTATGAAGTGTTGACTTGTTATTACATATTATTAATATGTTGTAAAGTAAAACCTTATGAACATTCAATATAAAAAAGTAAAACAAAATGATATACACATATATTTTTGTTTTTTACTTTTTATATTGAATGTTCAATAAATAATGTAATTATATGTTTATATATATTTTTATAAAGTAAAACCTTGTAAGTATAATTATTTTATAGAACATCCAGTATAAAAAGTAAAAAACAAAAATATAGGTGTGTCATGCAAATGTCACTTTAATGAATACTTGTGTGTATATATATATACACACATTTTATTATGAAAAAGTTAGAAATAAAAAAAAGAAAAACGTTAGTAAATAGGATTAAGTTAGCAAGTGGGTCTTTGTGTGGAAGTACCAAGATCTAATCAAATATAGACACATGTTTTAGTGTATCAAGTATTACTACCTTATGTCATTCATAAAAATCAAGGAAATTTTTAGTCTTTAAATATCGATAACCGTTATGTTCGATGAACGAAGCTATACACTGACCTGTTCGAATTCATCTGTGATCGTTTTAGGCTCCTCATGTCGTTGGAACCACATCATGAATTTCGTATGAAATCGCCATGACTGCTTCTTCAGTGCTTTGGCTGCCAAATACTGGGCCTGTATCTCAACGTACATAAAGCACATGTTAGAGCACCGTTTTGTACGTGAATTAACACAAATTGTGATGTTGGCTAACATTGTAAAACAGGATATATTTCTGTTACATCATAGAAACTGTCAAACGTTTGTACTGCTGAGCTTCATGAGCTATTTAGCTCTATCCGTACGGTGCAACGCATTATAACATCCCACTGTACTTACCACATATATTCTAATAACCATCAGATTTATACGCATAATTACGACTGAGCAAATCACGGTGCATTGTTACAGTCCACGTATTGTGATGTAGGCTGTATAATCATTTGTTATAGTGACCAACATTTGTTGCTTACCCAGACAGTTTGCTGTTTTAAGAGCCACTAATCTGGGCCTATAATAAAATTCATAAATAGCAATAAGAACGAAGCGTCGGTCGATGCCACAACAAACATGATAAACCGAGTTCAACGCATCTAATTCCATCATCCGAAAACATTCTTTCGAGTTCCAATATACAATGATTATTAAACGCCGATAGGTAGGTACGTTAAATGGCTTGCTGTACTGCTTGCCGAATTGGCTTCTTAGATCCATCTTTACCTTAAGACTTTTACCCGTTTGTAAAAGAAACAACGCCTGTGTGTGTGTGTGCGTGCATGTTTTTATGAATGTGTTATCTCCGTTTGTAGTTTGCAATTCGTACCTTTGTGCCTTCCATATAATAGAAGATAAAGAAGAGCGTGTCAGTGGTAAGTCGCTGGAAGATCTCTTGAGGATCGGTGTGTGGTACCGAGAGTGGGTAATACGAGGGCGTCACGCACGGCTGCCGGATCAGGTAGCTTCGCAAACGATCACTGTCGCTCGGATGAGGCAAGTGATTAGAAGCCCATGTTAGTTGCTGCAGTTGATAGTAGCACTCTTTCGACATTGACCATTTGCCCAGCGGGGCGACGCCCAACAACGGAGGGATGTGTGCGTCACCATCGGTTCCGTCATGTCCGGCCTGCTGCTGCTGCTGCTGTTGTTGCTGTTGCTGCTGCTGCTGTGGGCCAGGCTGTTGCCCTTGCAACATCTGCTCGCTCGAGGGTATTTGACCTCGATGGGCTCCGGGCGATTCCCGGCTGTTTGGCTCGCATACACCGTTACTTAGTGCCGTTGGAGCGAGATCGCCGGCTCGGCTGGCCTGTTTCATCATCATCACCTGTGAAGCGTCCATGCCACCACCTGAAAAATGTCGGTAGCACAAGTTTCGCTTGTGAGCGTGGGACGCATGGAATGAATGGGATATTCACTTTTAAATTCGAAATCGAAAATCGTAACTTGCGCATGCATTTCATAAGATGGAGATTCAGGCCTTCAAGTTTCACAAAATAGAATACTCATGGCGCCGTAGCTGAAAAACTAGCGAACTGATAAATGCTGCTATTCGAGCGATGAAACCAACTCTACAGAAATATCTACGTATGTTTGTATTTGTTCCGACACATAACTCGAGCTGCTACTGCACAAATAACAAATCAACGGGTGTCTATGTTATGCTCGGATTACTTCATTGCTATTTCGTTTTTCCTTCGCAATTCCTACATTCGTCAACATGTAATTTTTAACCTGAGAGGTGCCTCGTCACTTTACGACTCATCATGAACAGCTTCGACAGCCTGATCCACGATGATGTTGTTCTCTCGCCTTTCGTTTCTCAAACCAGGCGACTTCGCCCAGCCCCATACCTTTTCCAGCACGGTATATGGTAAAAGGCATTGAGTTCGATATCTTTCACCATTTTTCATCTGAATTATCCATGGTTTGGATCGGTTCCACTGATCTACGTGACATCGGTCATGAATCACCAAAATTAGCTACTGAAAAATATATCAATCTTATACATACGCTGTTTCGTTGGACTGCCTCCAATCTGCTGCTGAGGTTGTAATGGCCCATTGAGCATCTGTTGCTGTACCTGCTGAGCCGCCTGCTGTTGCTGCTGTGCCGCCTGATGATGATCCCTATTATTTGTATGGCTTTGGGGCGTAGGCGATGTGATGCCATTCATTTGTTGCATCTGTGGCTGCTGTGGTTGGGGTCCGCCGGCCGGACCTGGATAATTCTGCACCATTTGCTGAACCATAGGCGATTGCTGCTGCTGCGCCTGAACCTGCTGTTGTTGTGCAGCCATTAACTGTTGCTGTGAGGGCTGTTGTTGCTGTTGTTGGGCTGCCGCCTGCTGCTGCTGTTGCTGCTGTTGTTGGACTTGATGCTGTGCAGCTTTCGCCATCTGCAACGCTACCTGGGCCTGCTGCTGCAGCGCGACTGGTTGTGATTGGGCCTGCTGCTGCTGTTGAGCCGCAGCGGCAGCTAATTGCGTCTGCTGGAGGTGACCTTGTTGTTGCTGCGTTTGTTGCTGAGCCTGTTGCTGCACAAGCTGTTGCTGTACGTGCTGCTGCTGGACAAGCTGTTGTTGATGTTGAACCTGTTGCGCTACCTGTTGAGCTGCTGGTTGTTGTAGTTGCTGTTGTTGTTGGCTCGGTTGGTGGTAATGCTGCTGCTGCTGCTGCTGCTGAAGAACGCCGCCACCCGCACTGTGGGCCTGTTGCGGCTGGTTTTGTTGAGGAAGGGGAGCTCCGTGAGGAGGCGCAAGCGTCGCCAATACAGAACTATACGCCACCTTCGAAGCCTCGTGTGGCGCTGGCGAAGGTGAGATCGCGGAATTGTTGGCTTGTTGTTGTTGTTGTTGCTGTTGTTGCTGTTGTTGTTGCTGCTGCTGCTGCTGCTGCTGTTGTTGTTGCGAGCTAGGCATACCGCCTATACTACCGGTGACAACCATTTGGCTTGCAGCGCCAATGACTTGGCCACTTTTGTTGGTCCCGGCGCCGCCTGATGAAGGTGGCCGAACTGCGACAGGTTTGACGACGGCGCCAGCTGCAACCACTGCTGGAACTGGTGTAGTCACGCCGCCCTTGTGGTTTTCGACTGGCGTAGGTGCGGGCGAACTGCCGTTATTGGCGATGAGGGAATTCTGCGTTGCGAGACTTGGTGTGCCGGCCACAGACGATACCGATGAAACCTTAAAAGATATAATAGAGACGAAAAAAGAATAAAATGGAATAGAATGTAGAGGAGTTCTGAAACTCTGGTGGATACAATTACGATGGACGGCAAAAGCTAATGGCTATCACTTAATTAACAAAACATCATGGAAGAATACGGGTCATTGCCTATCTGTGCTTTTGAGCAGCCCATGGAAAAGCCAAGCCTACAGTTGTTCTCAACATGGCTATGAAACCCGCTTCTACATCAAACTGAAAAGAATACCTTTATCATCTGGGCAGTGTGCTTATAGCCATAAATATCGGAACGGGTGGTGGTGCAAGCACGAGGCCGTCATCGTTCATATTGATTTCGTCATAGCCGTTATGGTACGACAGCCACATAGATTATGTTTACACGCTTTGACGACATTCGCCATTGGCGAAGCCGTCTCCCAAATGATAAGCCGATAACTAACCAAGTATCACTGCGGGCAGTTGCAGCGGCTCCGAAATTCCCTCCTAAGAAACCTATGAACTGACCACAATGTAATCACCGGCCTTTGCCTTCCTACTTAGAGCTAGATGGTATCAATTACATATAAGGGCTCATTAGTACGACCGTATCAGACCTATCTTTAAACCCTTTCTGCACTGATACCAAATATGTCCCTGAAACGAATCGATCAAGCGATTTGTAGCTTTTTGTACTGATAAATCATTAGAGCATTAGTTCGCTGTTGTGTTAAAGAAATCGTAATAAGCATATAATCCAAGAAATTTAATGACTAGTTAGTTGTTGTTTACTCTAAGAATGGAGATTCAATTGTAACATTCCGTAAAAAATAAATCGACGACGCCTAACGATTATGCTGTATCATAGTTACTACGAAAACTAGGGATTTCGAGAGAAATTGCTTAAACAAAACCCTCTTTCAGAGAAATCTTTAGAAAAAGATTTCTTCTACCTGTAAACTATACAGCACACAAACCCAAAGCTACCCAAAAGTAATTTAATTTCAGTAAAAATGCATCAGTGATGAAATAAGCTAGTGCTATTTGCCGTTGGTTTCAGCTAAATATATCGTCTGCTACTTACATCACTGTTGGCCTTGTTATTATTCAAGGCGGAATGATGGTTAATCTGTGGCTGCTGAGGTTGCTGTGATGTTTGCTGCAGCTGTTGTTGGGTTTGTTGCAGCTGTTGAGCCTGCTGCTGCTGCTGCTGCTGCTGTTGTTGTTGTTGTTGTTGCTGCTGCTGCTGCTGAGTGTGGTGAGAGTTCGGCGTGTGAGCGCCTGCCGGAGTACTTCCATGTTGGGCTCCGACAGACATTGGAGGATGAGGTGTTACATGGCCATGACTCTGGCTGCTGGCGCTCTGCGGAGTATGAGGTGTACTCAGCTCATTGTGAGGTGAATCTGAGCCATGTTCCGATGTCGCGTTACTGCTCTGACTCATCGACTTGACGCCGACACCAAGACCGCTACCCATCGGATCGCCGAGGCCGAGCGTCACGCAGCTCTCGTCAAGGTTGAGGTCATCGTAGATGTATTCGTTTTCCTCGAAGTCGGGCTCGAGACACGACTCGATGTAGTAATTTACATCATCTTGGACGCTGCGGATTTTGTCTGTCTCGATCGTTCCGTTGTCGAGCATACGCATAAGCGTTTCGAGCTTGTTAATGTGGTACCGATGCTTGTCAAGGTGCGCTCGAAGCTCATCAATTCGATTACTATCCTTCTTTTCAACGTTTTTCGCCTTTTTACTAGTCACCGACATTGTTTCGAGTTCGCACTCGAACTGATCCACCTGGATATTTAGTGAGTCGATGCTGTTGACTAGCCACTGATTCGCCTCGTCCTTCTCCTTTTGCACGGGGTCAATCTTCTGTACACCCCCGCTTAAGCCTTCTTTCGAGTAGGCTTTCGTTTTTGTTTCACGCTCAACCACCTAAAACGATAACGATCGTTGTAGACAATAAATTGAGAGAAAGAAACGTCGCACACATGAAACATGATTGTTAAAACTCGGCTGAACATTGGTGGAACACAAGTGGATCATTATAGAGCTATGCAAAATTTAGATGGGATTACACTCAAGGTTGCAAGATACAGAAAAGGAAACCGTAAAAAACGTGCAAGAAGTTAGAGAACGTCGAAAGCTGTGTTCTTCATAGCAACATATGATTTAATGGTTAAGAAAAGGTTATATCTAATGTTACAGATGAAACAGTATTCATAATGTCCGCATTTTTAGGCCCGATTTCTAGGAGATTCTTTGCATAATTTAGAAATACTCACACAAACCGTGGTTTTCTTGCCTCTGTCAGCTATAGTATTCAAATTAAAGTATTTATCTTTACGTTCAGTAAAGTAAAAGGATATGCATGGTGCGTAGATCTATTTCAGAAAAAAAACAACATCTATATATGTGGCTAAATCTTCTCGCAGTCATAAAAAGTTTGCCACATTGTCCATTCCAATAATTGCCACCATCCAATATCTATAGAAGGTTAAATAGGTATAAAGGCGCGTAGTTTTTAAAAAAACATCAAATTGTCTCTCCTGGCTTGTGAGATTCTAGAGGGCACTACACCGCCATAGAGCTAAACATCGTCATTAAAACCCTATTTACTTTATACACAAATTCAACACTGGAGGCAACTTATAAAATAACGATCTCATACCCATTATCTCTGAATGAAGCTTCATGACACCAACACACTTTGGACATACTCAAAGACATATCAATTTACATCTTTACAATAGCTTAAAAATCTCTGGCTTAGCTTACTGGCTCAAATAGCCACAACACTTGTGACAGTTCACCCGGCTCCGCCGCTGCTATCACCTGATCAGGCAAATCGGCCTGTTCCACAGGCTCGGCCTGATCTACAAGTGGCCTCACCGGCCCCGCGGGTTTTGAAGGCTCTGATTCTTGAACCGAGTCCACCGGCAGGCCAAACAGCATCGGAAGGGACCGGAACATTTTCGTCAGATTCTCAACAGCCTTTTAGTTTTGCAGCAAAATCAGGTCCACAACAGGAAAGCAAATTTGGAGATGTGGTACAACTATATTGCGCCAATTGACCCGGCGAATGACAGATAGATCGGAGAATCAAACGCTACTAACTACTATAGCACCCCAGCAAGGACAACTGCTGGCATAAAGGTTCAGGTAAACGGTGCGCGTACCACGGCGCAATTTACAAGCATGTCAATATTAGCAATTTACGAAACAGACCAAAAAAAAGGGCTAATACGAATATCGCACGGCTGTCTATAAAAGGAGGCAAAAGGGCAAATAGTCAAACGATTTAAAATCTCTGTGCGACCACTCTTAATTAACAATGGGCAACTGAAAAGTCACGGAGGAGAAGCGTCGGTAATACTGCAAGAAGTCCAGCCCGCATCCTCAAATGGTGCACACTCGAATAGCCAGCCCCACACACACGCACACAAATGGGGCAAAACAAACTTATCGGCTGTCAACTGATGTCTGTCGCTGTCTGAAGAATCTGCGGAGTACATTCAAAGATAGGCAAATAGAGACGCATGGTATCAGTAGCAGACGACTCGCGCGCCTAGTCGACGACAGCAATCAGAAAGAATCGGTTTCCTCTCCGCACACACAGCTAACCAGGGCTGCACAGTAAAGTGCGTGTCGACGCGTTGAACTCATTGAATATGCTGACCTACGGGACCGTGAAACATGTCGTCCCTATTAAGTCAAAATAATGGTGGTGGCGTATGTGTCGACTGCAATATCGAACTTCGGCTTGGAGATAGACGACAAGATAAGTAGATGGAAGCCGATTTGGGCTTTGCGCGAACAGACATTTAGAAAAAGTCTCTGTACGCAACGTAAAGTAGAGTTACGTATTGGAATCAACTGTTTTCCTATAAAAAAAAAACCTGTAAAAGCCCTAAAGTAATTTGCAAGTAAATCTATTTTCTGTCCTTTTCCTATCATTTACTTTACCTACTAAGTTTTTACATGTTCGCACAGATATGAAGTTGTGCGTAGAACAGACAAGTGTTAATAAAATTCTTCAGACAACCTAAAAATACGACAATCTACTGTAAAATGGGCCTGAACATTAGTAAATATTTTATATACATCATATTTCCTAGGATTTTTCTTTGCGGAGAGCAAAAGCTCCACCGTACCTCAACGTCGAAAATGTGCCACTATTAAAGCACCGACGCTTAAATATTTTTCAAAAATGTGTTTTGTATTAGCGTGCATTAGCTAATAGTCTTACCTTAAATCGTTCCATCTGCGTTTCTATAAGTTTGCGCGTCTCCTGTAGCTGCCGCTTATCCTTGATGTCCGATGAGGATAGCCACGTCTTGATCTGATCGCGCAACCGTTGCAGCTTTTTAATCTCCTTCTTGAGATCGGCCTCATATTTTTCTTTTTGGTTAGTGTTCGTTGCTGAGTACACCTTTTTCCAGATGTCTTCGAATGTCTCGACCCCTTCACTGACTTTTTTCAAACAACGTTCTATCTCGCCTGAAACATCCAATTTTAACAGAAAGGCATAATGAATAATATAATCCTTCCGTATGTTGTTTTCCAGGTTGTTGCTAAACACATGAGAAGTACATGAATGGCACAAGGATTATATATAAGGCGTATGATAGCGCAAGCGACACATACATAGTTAAATTATACTTTTACAGGAAACAGCGTCTGATGAAAAACTGATGGAAGCGTGATCGAAATACTAGCAATTATACCGTTATAACAAAGCTAATTTAACTCAAAACGACAAAAGTGTGTTTCGAGGTTCACATCAGGCAGCACTGCCATTGAAATTGGCTTCTCTCACTATTAAAACGAAGCGTGTCTACGCCCGATTTTAAGACTAGACTGGTTGCTTGCTGGTGTATCTAGCATCAATACCCAGACATCTTGTGGCCATTGCTGAGATGCATAGAGCCAGTCTAATGAACACCCTAGAAGTAGAAGGCAAAATCTCAACATCTTCCAATAATTTCCCATCATGCCAAACTAGAACATTCCCGCCTATTTGTTGACACTGACAGAGTTTCAACTACTTTGTAGCCGGCTTTAAAAATGGTTTCTATTGAATATAGTGTTTGTTATCTAAATTTACGCATATAATTATGCTATAGACATGAAGAACATAAGGGCCAAACAAAACAATATTGGTCTATTTTTTTTAAAAAAGTACAGCGACTAATGCCAGTTGTTTGAAATTCACTGAAAAATCCGTCTTACCGAGTATACTTAAGTAAAAAAAAACAAATCTTATTTCCAACAGGACAGTACCTACAATCTATTATCGTGACATAAGAACGTATTTTGAAAAGAATCTCACAAATGGATGGGTCGGACGAAGGGGTGTCACATAATACTTTGCCTTTTACATAGAGTTGATGTCAATGAACCTTCTTGTAGTGATATCTTAAAGACAAGGTCTAACGCTAGAAAACCGACAACACTAGAAAATTTTAAAACTTGTTGAAGCTTGTCAAGGAATAGCCCACCGTCATCAGCAGTGTATTTAATAGCAATAACTTTGAACATCTACACTTGGAGGAAAAGGTGTGCATTTTATGTATGCATACATTTTGGGATATTCTATAGTTTCTTCGGAATAAATCTGTTGAAAACTCCCGCTAGAGGTCAGGCTAGTCAACTACACGGTTAAAATATAACTTTTGCAACATCCTTTTGAATTAAATAGCCTTGGCAGAATTTAGTTGGCATATGACAAACTTCTTGCCCACGATCGTATAGCAGTAACAAGTTTGTTCCAAACTGAGTATACTCGGTATTTTGTGCTGGAAGTGGCTGCTCTTCTGAAACAATGATGACAGATGGACGCAGATTTTTTTTATCCAGCGGTCACTTGGCACAGAATACGCCGTCTTTTTATTACAGTCATATCTTTAGGCTATATCATTCTAACATGATGATATGGCGTCACACAGTACTTTGATCCCATAACGGTATTAGGCTCGAACGAACCATAAAGACTAAGTAAACCTATCCCCCACATGAGTGATCTGTAGATCTCTAGGTCGCTATGCAGACTGCCCATCTTGCTGCTTATTATTATTAAGCGCCATCATGGATTACTCTATGTAACACCACCGCAAAACGCCGCCCCTACAGCGCCGAAATAAGCCCCGCATACATGCCGCCATTTCATTGTTTGGCCGAGCTGGTCTTCCTTTAATGTTACAGTCTTGCTAGATGCGCTTCCTTCCCTTTCTCTCTATCTGTTCTTTCGGTCTTTTTGTATGATGCTGTCGACGAGCAGAAAATCCATAGAGGCTGCCATACAACATCACATCGTCATGTCGTTGCACCTTAACGCGTCCCGGTCAAATTGTCCAAACGCTCCGGTCACTCATAAGCGCACTAAACAGAGAAAAAAGTGATTCGCTCGTGCTCGTTGCACCAACCGCTTCACCACCAGACACAACTATCACTACGAAAACGTACCGCTAGCCTCTGGTTATCATCCCATCGCAACGCCGAAGTCGCGTTGCTGTTACGCTGGCTGGCGTAACAACGCCATCAGGATCAATGTTGTCTAGGCCGACGTCTCTATGACTATGCAAAATGCAGCCTGCTCACCAGATCGCCAGCGAGGAATCGTTGGTGACCGGCTGTCAACAGAATAAATAAAAAAAGGCAAAACGTGTAACAGTAGCAGCAATGTAATGACCTCTCTAATGGTAGTACCCATTGCAAGTAGATGACTACGTATGTGGAACTATATTATTAGTTCGTGCCGTTGCTACCTTTGAGGTAAGTTTAGCTTGGTTCGAACAGCTGAAGTGTCCACCAGCATCCGCCCCACCGACACCCCACCACGAGCTCCATGTCCAATTTGTATAAATATGGTTAAATGGTAAAAGTAAATACAGAGAAGTACTGACTTTCGACGCAGCGACCTGAGTTTAAAAGTTCAACTAGCTAGCTAAACTAAAGACTAAAGCTCTGCTTTCCCTGTTAACAACTCAGCCATTTAGCTGACATTTCTACTATATAACTGCTACTTTGAATACTTCTGTTGCTATCATTATTATTACTATTTATAGGCTATCTATGGCTGCTACGGTTAGTGTACCCCCCCCCCTCCCCCGCAAAAAAACATTAAGCACCTGCCTTAGCTCGTCAGCATGATGGTGCGAGCCATGGAAGTGACATACCGACAATAGCAGTGAATTTGATGAGCGGTGCTGGTCAACGCAGTCATGCTGCAGACGACGGACGCCCCGTGGCGCCGCGATATGCCTGATATGTAGGCAATCCGCCAGAAAGCGTCTGTTTGTGAATCGCGAGAGGAACAATAGTTGTGCGTCTCTACTCAACTGGAGCACCATGACGATAACAAAAACAATAGTGTGATCTCTTCTCTACGGCTGTTGTTCAGCTAACGTTTGCAATCTATTTGGTGGAACCGTCTACAGTTGGCCAGACAAATAGGACAAGTTCGCTGAGCGCACGGCTTTGGCATCTGCGACAGGTGCACAAGCGAAGCCTGGCTGTTGCAAGCGCTACGGCGCCGGCGCCGGAGTTGACGATGCACCAGCCCGAAACAAACGAGGGAACTATCATTCCCCTTCAGCTCCGCTTCTATACCAAACAAACACAAACGCAGATAGACTGTGCTACTGCATCAGAAAATGCTATGACAGCTGATGATGACGAGCGTTGCCCAGCGTTATTGGCCTGCGGACGTTCAGAAGAAAGTCGGTCCAGTCTGACCGGATGTGGTCAGCCGCCAGTTAGCAACAGTTAAGGCTGCATCGTCGCTGGCTCTGTGCGGCTAGCTCCGTAGACGACGTAAAATTACGAGTCGCTACTGCGATAGAAATGTGTAGCCCAAGTGAACTGTTAGTACGCCGACAACAACGGCAGCAGCGACAGAAAAAGAGGAAAAGCCAAAGACAATATACGGTTATGGGGCAAAGCTGACATGTTCATTGAACTGGCGCGCGCGTCGTCTCGCGTTGTTCGTTCGGCGGAAGTCGCTACTGCTGCTGCTTCAGAAATTCACTGGTGCTGGCGACCACTGGCTACAGACAGCAGCTAGCGATTTCTAGTAGCAGCACCCAAAGCCGTTGCAGAAGCACCAACATCTGCTGCGGCTGCTGTTGTTGTTGTTGTTGTTGCCAGCAAAACGCGCGTGGCAGTCGCGTCTCTTTATGAACACGACGGCCCATCGTCGTTTGCGCCTATTACGGCTTGGGTAGCACACGAGGTTGCGCACTGCATCGTATCGTCAATCCATGACGCGTACCAGCTAAAGTTAACAGGCCGAACGTTTGAGGGCGAGGGCAAAAATGAAAAGGAACTTCACGAGCAGTCAATGAATGGAGCAAGCGAACACCGAACGGGTTGCGCAACAGATTGTCCAGAAGTAACAAGATAACGGCTGATTCGGGCCGGCCTGAAAATAACGAGAGTGCTGTGTCGCACACACCGAGCTCCTATATGCAGATATAATGGTACGATCCAGGTATTAAGGAAATGAAATGGAGACATACACTAACAAACGTGCAACGTAATTACGAACAGGAAACATATGTGCGTGTCATAAACCAACTAGAGACTTGAGAGCGCACAAGGGCGACATATATATGTATCAGCCAGTTGTAAAGCTGAAAACGTTTCAATGAAACGCTTATCAATTACTTAGTTTCTTCCTCTTCGCTTACGTACGATGAGCTTTGCCGGATATTACGGGGTGAGTTAATTTGATACAACATGCTAATCTGCCTCCCTGCGCTGAGAGAAACACTAACCATGAACATTCGTCTAGTTTTATTGTACCACGAAATCCTAATCAGCCGCAGTAGAACGATATAGCTGTTAAGCGTTGCCGATGGTGCAACGATCTTCCGACTGACTCGTGGGTCGGACAGTTAACAGAAATGGGGTTGCGTATGCTGCAGCAGTGATTTGTTGTACCATAACCAGAGGTAGTACTTACTTCTTTCTGGCGGAAATGACATGTCGTGAAGTAGAAAACGCTGTAGATACTATTTCAAGTCAGCATTTGCATACAAGAAGCCAGACTGAATGTGACATGTATATTCGATGCAAGCACAGTGAGTTAGCAACAACGCTAAGTAGAAAAGCTGCCATTCTGTAAACGTCAGTATTGCTAGGAGCATAGTAATATTGTTGAGGAGAGCAGCCGTGTGCTTTGGCAGGAAGGAAATTTCGATCGTAAGAGCTATCGAAATGTTCTCACGTGAATATCGGTGTATGTATTACGTATGAATCGGGAAAGCGCTTGTGTAGCCGCATGGGAAATAGCCGCTGCGAGCTTAAACACGACGATAATTACTGAAGCGTTTAATCATTCTCAGGTCTTCCTGTGTCGAACGAACAATAACAGCAAAAGACTCATGACTGTCGATTTGCAAAGCAGAAAACAATACATATCCTTGTTTTTAGACGACTATTTTTCAGTCAATACTAGTGAGGATCTATGGAGACTGTGGTCGGTGACAGACGGCGAG